GTTCTCAAACTCCTGGCCTCAAGGCGTCCTCCCACCAGGGCATCCCAAAGTTCTAGAATTGCAGGTGTGAGCCACCTCGCCCATCCTCAGATTATAGTTTTTATATTTAGGTTGTCTCTCTCTGTTCATATACTTTAAATGGTTATTCACTATTCACAGGATAAAGTCCAGATGTTTTAGCGTGGACATTCAAGGCTTTTGGTAGTCTGTTCTGATCTTAACTTTCCAAATTTATCTCCCATTGTACCTAATCTGGGCCTTCTGCTCTAGTGAGGCTGATCCAGCACTTACTTCTAAGGTGTTTTGTTCATCCCTACTCTGGGCCTTTGGTCATCTGGAACGCTAGGCCCCCTCCATGCTCCTCTTCTTTTTTTTTTTTTTTTGTTGCAGTTTGGCGGGGTCTGGGTTTGAACCTGCCACACTTGGCATATGGAGCCAGCACCCTACTCACTGAGCCACAGGCCCCACCCCATGCTCCTCTTCTTCCCTCCTCTCCATTCCTCTTCTCTCTCTTATCAGGTTACCTTCCAGTTTCTAAGACCATCTCAAATCCCAACTCCTCCTTGGATACTCCCTCAACTCCTTTAATCCACACATTAAATACTTCTTGTCCGTGCCATTCATTTCATTTTAGATAGTTTTCTGTCTTGAATAACTTTTCAAATGTATGTACAGGTAGCATCCTTAATGAAACTGGAAGCTCTTGGAGAGTAAGAGCTGTCTCCTAGCTGTAGAGTAGTGTGTAGTTTGTATTCAATAAACATTAAAAAGAAAAGTATTGATTGCTCTCCTGGGGCAATGATGTGATGGGGCTTCTGGAATGCTTAATAAAGGACTTGGAACAAGAGGTACAGGAGGGACAAATAGCAAACAAGAACTGGCAAAATGTTGCATGTAATCAATGCTAAGTGAAAAACATAGACAGTGTTACCATGTGAATTGAGATCCAGAAAAGAGCTCACCAAGCTGGTCTGGTCAGGGAAGGTTATATGGAGAAAGGATTTGAGTAGTCTTTGGAAAACAGGTGGAGAGCAGAGGGATCATTTCCAGCAGAAATAAGTGTACTTACTGCGAGAAAAAAAATATTTAAGTTACTGAACATGATTATAGAGATATAGAGAGGTAATTGAATAACTTGTATTGTGTTGGGGATAAGAAATTTCACTGTAGTAGAAAGAATATTGGATTGATGTGGATTCTTGTTCCAGATTTCTCACTTACTGTACAGTAGATGATTCACGTGTCTGCTTTGTATTTGGCTTTTGTTTAAAGTCAGTGATCTCTCAGCATTTCTGGGTAGGATAAAAGGAGATTTGAGTCTTGAAAATACAGATATATGGTTCATCCTGAGCCTTTTATTTTTTTTTTTTTAGAAACTGAGTCTCACTTTATCATCCTCGGTATAATGCCGTGATGTCACAGCTCACAGCAACCTCCAACTCCTGGGCTTAGGCAATTCTCTTACCTCAGTCTCCCGAGTAGCTGGGACTACAGGCGCCCCCCACAACGCCTAGTTATTTTTTGTTGCAGTTTGGCTGGGGCTGGGTCCGAACCCACCACCCTCAGTATATGGTGCCAGTGCCCCTGTGACCCACTAAGCCACAGGCACCGCCCTTGAGCCCTCTTTGAGTGTAATACCAAAGAGATAATATTTTTTTCATTAGTCAGTTTTCAAGGTTCCTCTCACTTAGGACTTAAGTAGTAAAGAGCACTGGCTTTGAGGGAAAATGGGTACACCCCAAATGCTCCTTTCCTCAAGATCAAGGTGTTGATGACCAGTTCTTACCTAAGGCCAGATCAGACAGACAGCGTCCCCACAGGTGTAGTCTCGCTGCTGGAATTATTACAGTGAAAGAGATAGACTACTCCTCTGGTGGAAGTAGTGAAGTTTATTGTTCTTGACCACACTTTTATAGTCGGCTGGTCACATACACTCTATTAATTAATAAGTAAAGCATTCATACTACTAATCTCTTCTAAGGTTAGTTCGACTTTCAAAGAGATACAAAGTTTGAAAACTCCAGGCAGCTGCAAAAGGGAGTACAGACTTGAGATTACCAAAAGGGAAGTAAAGCCTTGACGTTTTCCCATACACTCATTAGAAAATAGAAAGCAGGTTTATGGCTTCTGTCTCTAGGCAACCTGGAGGCCACGCTGTTTTAAGATAAGTGTTTCCACACCCATCAACCTCTAGGCTGTGTCTCTGCAGGAAGGTTTTTAACCCTTGCTTCGCAGGCTTAAACAACCACATAGCCAGAGTCACCGAAGATGGGTTTTTAGGCCCAAATCCTCAGGCCCTGTTCTATGTTGACCAAGGGTACTAGATCTTCGACAGAGTTGCTTTCCACAGAAGTCTGTCCGCCTGCTTCTGGAGTTTAAAGTGAGCACACAGTTTTGTGGGGTCTTACCCCACAAGGCTAGGACCTACATTTGACCCCATCCTTTATCAATCATTTAAAAAATATTATTCTTGTGCCCTGTTTCAACTTTACTAAAACTTTTTTTTTTTTTTTTTTTGAGGCAGTCTTACTATGTTGCCCTCAGTAGACTGCCTGGCATCACAGCTCACAGCAACCTCAAACTCTTGGGCTTAAGCGATTCTCTTGCCTCAGCCTCCCAAGTAGCTGGGACTACAGGCACCTGCTACAATGCCCGGCTATTTTTTGTTATTGTTGTCATTGTTATTTAGCAGGCCCCGCTGGGTTTGAACCCGCCAGGCTGGTGCATGTGGCCGGTACCCTAACCACTGAGCATAGGCATTGAGCCTATCTACTCCAACTTTATAAAGCTATGTTTTATTCTAAAAGCTTTATTGTTCTACCATTAATATTTTGGTCTATAACTGTCTGGAATTGATTTTTGTGTATTGTGTAAGGATGAGGAGCAAAGTTCAGTTTCTATGTAGATTTTGTTTATTTGTTTGTTTGTTTGTTTAATGCAGTGGTCAATCATAGCTGGAGCCTTGAACTCCTGGGCTCAAGTAATCCTCCTGCCTCAACTGCTTGACTAGCTGGGACTACAGGTTCTTGCCACTGTACCCAGTGACCTTACCAACTTCACTTTTTAATTTTCATAGTTCACTGTAGTTTTTTTTTAATACTTTATTTATTTATTTTTTATTGGTCAGGGCTGGGTTTGAACTCACCACCTCTGGTATACAGGGCCAGCACCCTACTCCTTGAGCCACAGGCGCTGCCCCTGTAGTTTTTTTTTTTTTAATTTACATATATAATCATATCATCTGAAAATAATGACAGTTTTCTTTTTGTTCTATTTTTATACTTTTTATTT